CCCACAGCCATTTGAGGGGAAAACATAGAGTTTTCCCCTCAAATGGCTGTGGCCCCGCCCCCAGCGTGCCCGGCGTCATCACGTCACCTCCGGCTGACGTGCACGCCGGGGTGGGGTTTCCCCCGGGGCCCGATTCCGTGGCGGCAGAAATCAGGCCTCCAAAGCGGGGTGAAATCCGCCCCCAGGGGGGACTTGGCAGCCCTACTTAGCACCCATAGGTTCACATAGCTATTTAACAGTGTAGGAGACAAAATGTTGGCCAGAGGAGGCCAAAGAGGTCTCCAGTACAGTGCTGTGGCATCCATTTACTGTGGAATGAATGCATGCAGTTTTATTCAGAATAGTTCTTCATGCTTTCCACGTGTATTATTTGAGAACCTCAGCAGTAGGATTTTGGCTTTGTTTATGGCCTGTTTCTTAGCTGGAATTCTTGTTGCATTTGGACTTGGAGTAGAAATGAAGCATTTGTTTGTGACTCACCCCGATGGTCCCCATATGCTGTGACATGAGAGTTTTCATAGGCAACCACAACCTCCATCAAATGTATGAAATGTACTCTGAGAGAGCCAGCCTACTGGCATCTAAGATTAACTCAAGTTGTGTGGAAAGGCTCATGCCCATTAACAAATTCTAGTGAATGACCAAGGATTCAGTTTTCTATCTCCAGTCCTACTTCTCCTCCATCTCCCCTAAAATGCATTAATTCTGTCCAGTTACCCCATCAGAAAAGAGCTAATGTGTTAAGTGTATCTGACCACAGTGTGAGGTACAACTGAATTTTCCCCCCTGTAGGTGTGTTTGTGTGCATCTGCTTTCATGATTGATGGTATCTTGTGTTTGCAAGTCCCTCACTCCAGTATTTTAAGTAAAACTTGATTTCTGTCTGAAATATCAGCTAACTCTTGTGTACAACTGATAGCTCTTTTGGTATTGATTGACACAACAGGGTTTGCTAGGACAATAGAGCTCTTAAAATTTGGCTTTTGGCTTTAAAAATTCTGCTTTTCTGAATGATCAGAGACGGCCATCTTGTTGAACTGGAGTTGATCTCCAATCAGTTCTAGGTCAATGTAAGCTTATTAACATATCCTCTTGTATGCTGCTCTTTGCACTTGTTTCTCTATGAATGAACATAAATTGGCAGGGAGTGAAGCTGTTGGCTGAAAGGCCACTCGAACTTATACAGTACTGACTATCTTCTTGCATAAGGGCAGTTGTTGCCTGTTGTTTTCTGGCCACCAAGGAAGATGCAAAGCTCTAGCACTCTCAAGGCATTTATAAAATAAGGTTCTAACTTTTAAAAAATATCACTTTTTTTTTGGTCTCCTGCCTTTCCAATATGTGTCTTGCTCCACAATTATGAATTCATTTTAGGTTCCCCCTGTAATATGTACAGTTCAGATAATTTATTATATTTTATGTAAAGGCATAGGTAAACATAACGGGAGAGGTCAGGGGTAAAGCCCATTCCCTGTTAATGTCGGGTTGGATTCTTTGTCTGCCAGAAACTTTGGCAGCTGTTCAGAGCAGACATTGGGTTGAACAGACCAGCAGTCTGACACGAAACAAGTCTGCTTTCTATATGTTTCTGGGCAGGGCTTCACATGCTTCGTGTACTTGTAACTTCGAAGTATAACACCAAGAAGAATATCATGATAGAAAATTAAAATTCAGCTCAACTTGCGCTTAGTATGAGTGTTAATATACAATGTAAAGGTAAAGGTTGCCTTGCTCGAAAGCCAGTCGAATCCAACTCTAGGGTTGTGGTGCTCATCTCCGTTTCAAAGCCGAAGAGCCAGCGCTGTATGAAGACATTTCCGTGGTCATGTGTCCGGCATGACTAAACACCAAGGCGCACAGAACGCTGTTACCTTCCCACTGAAGTGGTACCTATTTATCTACTTGCAATTTCTTGCTTTTGAACTGCTAGATTGGCAGGAGCTGGAACTAGAGACGGGAGCTCACTCCGTCATGCAACACACTCGGGTCTCGAACTGCTGAACTACCGACCTTCCACAGCCTGCAGTTCAGTGTCTTAACCACTTGAGCCACCGCAGCTCCAATATACAATGACCATCTAGTTAATATACAATGACCAGCTGTGAGGTCTTTGGCACAGAGGCCACAATGGCTGTCGGAATATACTATCCTCCATCTGTAAAAAAGAAACATGATATGGCCACAGCTGATTGAATTGCAGTTTGGTGGAATGGGAGATATAGAGGTGCCATGCAATACAAGAATGAAATAGGATGCTCAGATAAAGACATTGTTAGCACAACTGTTAATTAATTAAAGAGCCAGTTTTGTATAGTGGTTAGGATCGCAGACTCTAATCTGGGAGAACCAGGTTTGATTCTCCACTCCTCTACATGCAGCTGCTGGTGTGACCTTGGGTCAGTCATAAGTTCTTTCAGAGCTGTTCTCTCAAGGTCAGTTCTCGGGAGAGCTTTCTCAGCCCTACCTACTTCATAGGGTGTCTGTTGTGGAAAGGAAAGGGATTTTAAGCTGCTCTGAGACTCCTTCAGGTAGTGAATGGTGGGGTATAAATCCAATCTCTTCTTAAAAATAAATTTTAAAAAAGTTTTAAATCTTGTGCCTGGTTTCTAAGGGGTTGTTGCGCATGTGTACATACACGCTTGGGTTTTTGAGGCCCCCATCTTGTCTAATTGCAGTGTGGTTTGAAAAGTTGCTCCTGAAATTCAGGGAATCCTCCCAAATGGTATCCAGACTTCTGCATGGAGTTGTAAGCAGAAGGGGGAAACCGGCACAGTCCAACCTGTAGAGGTTCTTCAGGCATACACGTGGACCTCTTTGGATCCCAGTTGTTATATGCTTTGAACATTATTGTGTTTGTTTTTCAATTTCTCTCTAAAGCAAAAGGCCAGTCTTGGTTCTTCAAAATGACACCCTCTACTCCCAGAGGCGACCCTACACCAGTGAGGATGAAGCCTGGAAATCCTTTCTCGAAAACCCTCTTACAGCAGCCACTAAAGCCATGATGAGCATCAACGGGGATGAAGATAGCGCTGCTGCCCTGGGACTGCTGTACGACTACTATAAGGTAGCTTCTTGGCACGTCTGAAGAAGCTGGAGGGCACTTTGGTTTGCCCGTGGCCTTTAAGAAAGGAGAAGTCCAGGCTTTTGCTGCTCTGGCTGGAAACCTTGGCACAGCTTATTTTGGTAGTGGCTATAAATAGTGTAATGAGAACTTCTGGTTATATAGCTCAAAGTAAGAACAGAATTGTATCAGATAATTTCCCCCCAAGTTATGATTAAGCAAACTGTTCTGGAATAATGTGCAAAAGGTCAAGGCGATGGTTTTTAATGTGTTGCAGTGAGGACACTGTGTGTGCGTGTTGCAAAGTTATGGAAATATGTCTGTTGACCCCGTAGAACCCAATGGGCTTGGGATGAGGTCCTGCGTTACCTCTACAGGGTAACTGCAGTTTACCATCTGAAAACCTGGAAGCATTGCTATCTCTGGTGACACACCAGGCATTCTCATAGTATTGGGTTCCAGTCTTTAAGGTAATAATCAGTAGGGGATATGCTTGTCACATAAATTTCTCTGTGCCTAAATTCCAGTGGCTTTCCTTAGGAGCTGGTCATCTGGGCGCTGAGCACCTAACTTATAGAATAGAATAATAGAATCACAGAGTTGGAAGGGGCCATACAAGCCATCTAAGTCCAACCCTCTGCTCAATGCAGGATCAACCTAGAGCATCCCTGACAAGTGTTTGTCCAGCCGCTGCTTAAAGACTGCCAGTGAGGGGGAGCTCACCACCTCCCTAGGCAGCTGATTCCACTGTTGAATAACTCTGACTGTGAAAAGGTTTTTCCTAAGATCCAGCCGGTACCTTCCCACCCTTAATTTAAACCCATTATTGCGAGTCCTATTTTCTGCTAATGACAGGAGCAGCTCTCTGCCCTCCTCTAAGTGACAGCCCTTCAAATACTTAAAGAGAGCAATTATGTCCCCCCTCAACCTCCTCTTCTCCAGACTGAACATTCCCAAGTCCCTCAGCCTTTCCTCATAGGGTTTGGTCTCCAGGCCCCTGATCATCTCCGGCGCTTTCCTCTGCATGTGCTCCATTCTGTCCACATCCTTGTTGAAGTGAGGCCTCCAGAACTGCACACAATACTCCAGGTGCAGCCTGACCAGTGTACAGCAGGACTATCACATCTTGTGATTTGGATGTTATGCCTCTGTTGGTACACCCCAAGATTGCATTAGCCTTTTTGTCGCTGCATCAAACTGGCTGCTCGCATTTAACTTTCGGTCCAGCCATACCCCAAAATCTTGTTCATATACACTGCTACTCAGAAGTGTATCACCCTCCAGTATGCATGTTCCTCATTTTTGTTACCCAGATGTAGAACTCAGCACTAATCCTTGTTAAATTGCATCTTGTTCATATCTGTCCACTTTTCCAATGTGTTCAGATCTTGATTAATTCTATCTCTGTCTTCTGGTATGTTCGCTGCTCCTCCCAATTTGGTGTCATCTGCAAATTTAATGAGTAGCCCCTCCACACCCTCATCCAGATCATTTATAAAAACATTGAAAAGTACTGGGTCCAGAACCACCCCATTGGACAGCTCCCTCCATTCAGATGAAATGCCATTGACATCTACTCTCTGAGTGCGATTCTCCAACCAGTTCCCTGTCCACCTAACTATCCTAGAGTTCAGTCTATGGTCCTCTAGTTTACCCATCAGAACATCATGGGGAAACTGTCAAAAGCTTTACTGAAATCCAGGTAAACAACATCAGCAGCATTCCCTTGGTCTGGCAGGACTTGTTGGGGTCAAATCCGTGCTGACTTTTCTGGACCACCAAGTTGTCCTTTAGATGCTTGCAGATTGATCCCTTTAAAATCTGCTTCGGTATCTTCCCTGGGACCTCTGGGTCAGACTGGCTGGCCTGCAGTTTCTTGGGTCATCCTTCCTCCCCTTTTTGAAAATTGGGATAGCATCTGCCTCCTCCAGTCTTGTGGCACATCTCCCATCTTCCAAGAGGTCTAGAAGAGGATGGACAAAAGCTCTGCAAGCTCTCTAGAAAGTTCTTTGAGCACTCTTGGGTGGATACCATCTGGCCTGGGGATTTGTACTCATTCAATGTAGCCAGGTGCTTCTCAACTACCTCTCTGTCCATGCCAACCAGCAGCCTGGACGCTGTACCTTGCCTACTGTCATCTCTAGATGAGCCTGTTCTCTTCACGGAAAAACTGAGGCAAAATAGGCATCAAGCCTTTCTGCTGTCTCTCAGTCCTCTGCCAGAGTTTCTCCATTTTCACTCAGCAGTGGGCCCATCGCCTCTTTTATCTTGCATTTTCTTCTCACATATCTGAAGAAGATTTTCTTGTTGTAGCGAGCCTCCCTGGCCAGCTTTAGCTCACTGTGAGCTTTCGCCTCTCTGATGGCTGACCTACAGTGCCTAGCAACCCACAGATACTCTTCTTTAGAGGTATGTCCTTGCCTCTGTTTCTTGAACATTTCCTTTTTTCTCCCTTAGCACATCACACAGTTCTCTGTTCAATCCATGTTGGCTTCTTGGATGCCGTACCGTGTTTCCTTCTTGTTGAAATAGTGACTGCTTGAGCTTGTAAGAGCTCTTGTTTTAGGAGAGCCCGCCCTTCACTTGCTCCTCTCCCTTCCAGCAGTCTTGCCCGTGGAATGATTCTCACCATGCCTCTGGGTCTATTAAAGTCTGCCCTACTGAAATCTAACATATACATGTGGCTACGAACTTCCTTGGTCTCCCAGAGCAATAGGAATTCTAGCAGGACTTCTTAGGTTTCATTAACCTGTCACTCATGGTCTAGTTTTGGAAGATTTTCTTATTCTGAGGCAGAAGTCCCCAACCTTTCTGAGCCAGTTCACAGCTTTGGAGTTCTGACAGAGGGTGGTGGACACAACCACAAAACAGCAGCTGCAGGAGGTGGTGCCAGCCGTAAAAATGATAGGGAGTGGGATTATGCAGAACTTTGTAGCTCTTCAGCATTTCAGGCAGACATCCTATTTAACTGGATGTGTGTGTGTTTTTTTTAAATGAACATATTTTTAAAATATTTTTCTTGCACACCCAAAATAAGTATACTTTTGAGCTAGCGAGAAAACCCTTGTCTGGCAGATCTCCAGTGGCCAATAAGAAGCTCTCTTGGGCAAGAGCCTCACCTGAACCCGCCTACTTTCAAAAAGCAGGTGCCACGGCACCCATGAGAGCCGCGTTGGGGACCCCTGTTCTGAGGTTTCCAATTCCAGGGGGTTGCATGCTCAGTGGTGCTGTGATAGCCAGTAGAAGATTTTTTTCAAAGACAAAAATTAAAAGGCAGGCAAATGATTTGGGTCGAGATAAGGGTGAGAGCAGACTAGGAAGGAAGGGACCTCAATGTTCACCCGGTTCCTCCTTGTTGCTCAAGGACTCCTTCCTGTCCTTGCACTGGTTGGTGCTTTTATGGAATTATGGCATTCATACATGGGCCTTGCCACCTTTCTCCAAATAAGACACTTGTGACTTAATGCTCCTCTTTCATTAAGCGGCTGTGTTTCCCATGCATTTCTCAGGAGTCCCGTGTGACTATACCCTTTCAGCTATGGGGGTGCTCTCCAATCTCAAGCCCAGGAGCTTTGCCCGGCATCCAAAAAAGGTAGCATACCAAAGACTGCCAAGTGAAATCTTTAGGACAGTGTGGTTTCATATTGATGATGGTCCCTTAGTCAGGAGTAGTATCATACAGCAGCCATGTGTTGTTATACCCTTGTTTTTACATATCCAAAACAGGTCAGGTAAGCCACAGAACTGGTTTGACCCACCGTTGTTGGCTTTTAGCATCTGCCTTGTAAAAAACAATTATGGAAGTCTGGTGAAAGAACAGCTGTATAGGGGCGTATCATCGTAGATGTGCAGTTGTGAGCATCAGAACTCATAAGTGATACAATCTCACCCCAGTACAAACAATTCCTGGTGTGTCAATGATATTCTACGCCAAGGGTAGGAAAACTATTCAGTTCTGTCTCTAAATATGCTAAGGTTATAAAAAGGAAAACTAGTTTTTCCATAATGTATTCCAGTCCCAACTGCAAGTACATATTACAAAACGCTTGGGTTCTGTCAAAATTTGGGAAGCTTTGGCAAGGAATAGGATATGGTACCAAGAGAAGTTTGGAGTATGTATAAAGAAAAAAGGTAAAGGATAGTGATGTGCTACGAAGGAAAAGGTCTGCAATATGCATGCAAATGAAGACTGAAAGCAAAATTTTCAGCTGTATCCAGCTGTTCAGGAATATTGGAAGCCAGTTTATTACAGATTAAAGCTAAATTTTTCATCAGATGTATGGAGTTATGATGAAGTTGGAGGAAACGAAAGAAAGCCCACCTCCCCTTTGTTTTGTCTTATGAAGGATGAACTCTGTATCTGCTCAGGATGCCAGCTTGCTGGTAAACAAGCTGGTATCAGAGTGAATTCATTCTTTAATAAAACTGCCCACTTTGCAAGCGGAAAAGCCTTGAAGGAAGGGGGGGGGTTCATTGGAAGTACATTTTAAGAAAATCCCCCAACAGTTGGTATCTGCCCTGGAACTGATTTCTGAAGAATGGGTAGGAAAGCTCCTGAACAAGAAATTTGTAAAGATAACCGTCTTAAAGTATGGTGAAGATCTCATCCTCAGCATTTCTACAGGCCATACAAAACTTATAATTATAATCTGCTGACCTAGGAGTATGTAGTTAGGGCATTTTGTATATGTACCTTTTAAGAGAAATGTTGTTTAGGCTATGTGGCAGAATATGTCTGCTCTGGCCTGCAGGCCCCATTTCCACCCTGCCCTCCTAGGGGTTCCCAACTCCCTGGAGGGGCTTTTCTTTTACTCATGAGTAGCTGCTCCCACCACCTGATCAATACAGAGATTTCCCACTGAGGGGATCAGGACCCTCAGCTTCCCTTCCCAGCCTCAGAGGCCTGGCCTCTATATCCCCTGCTGGCCCTGTGCCTGGTTACCCCAGGGACAGTCTACTGCTTTGTGTGCCCCTGGGGGAATAGCCAGTTGCCAACTGCTTGCCTCCCCCTCCCCAGGGCTCCCTTTTAAAACTGCATGTCCGAAACAGTGGGGGTCTGTGCGGTACAGATAACCGCTCCTCACATCAGCAGTTTAAAACATTTATTAAAATGAAAAAGTTTACAAGCATTTTTAGCACCGCACCAGATTGAAGCAAGGAAGAACAAAAGAAATTGGTAAAACGCAAATCCTCTGTCCCTTTCAGCTATACGTGCCCTATCTGATAGTAAAAGATAGGACAGGCTCTTTATCTTAGGTGTTCTAGTTCTCTAAAGATCTACCATTACTTTAAGGCTTGCTCCTAGCTCTTTAGGCCAGCTACATGGTCCAAGATGGCTGCCTGCTGCCCAACTCAGACAACAGGTCTGTTTAGCTCAGCATCCCAAGGAAAAAGAGCTGTTTCCTGTTGCCCAAAGATCTTATCCCCTCTGTTTCCCCTCCCCCTTGACCCTGGTCAAGCCAGGTCAAAGCTTCTTTTCCTGTTGTCTCCAGGAAGCCCCTTCCTGTAACCTATCTAGCAATTACCACCTCCAACCTCTTTTCCCTGCTTGGAGAAGAAGGGTGAACCGGCCCCATCCCATTGTCTCTAGTAAGATCCATTAGTATTTCTTAAGAAAAGCGTTCAGAAGGCCATGGGCTAATCCCCCCCCCCCTGCCAGTTCTTAGAGGGAAAAAATGGTCTAAATGCACAGTGGAGCCCTGCTTGTTGCCAACCTACCAGGAGACAATGCATTTCTCCATAGGCTATAAGAACGAAATTGCATGTTGGCAACATGAGTCTGGGAACAGTTTTTCCCCTGTGTGTGCTGCCCACCCCCCGACACGGGAGGTATTTACGGTGGAGAATCTGCAGGAGGACAGAGCCTCAACTTTTCTCCATCTGCCAGCTCTTTGCAAATGGTCCTTGCCTTCATTTTAGCATTGAAAGCCAAACACTGGTTTGGGATCCCTGTGGTACCCCTTCAAAAGCTTTCTCCTAAATGTGTTTCATTGTGTTGAGCTTGGTTTCAGGGTCATGAAATATGTAGACCATTAGCACTGGAAAATCTGTGTCCTGAGAAATGGGGCTGTTAAGGTGTCCCTTGGCTGACTTACAGAGGACCAGAGCACAGCTTCAGTGTGGCTTGCTAAGTCTGGAAGCCTTTTAGCACATCACTCCTGCTTTTTACAAGTTGTGTGAGCCTGTAGTACCTGCTGTTTAAAGACATTACTTAAATGGCTTGTATTTGCCAGGTTAAAGAGTGGTGTTGCTAAGGCAGCTAATTTAAGTGCTTTTAAGGTATTTGATTAATGCCTCCTAATGTTGAAACCAATCTTCAAAAAAACCCTTGGTATTTAGAGTACAGTTGTTCAAATATGCTGAAGTTAAGATCACTGCTGTACTTTTTAAAACCACCTTAAACCAGTCTATTTGCTACCTTGGGAAGCATTTTTTTAATAAAACATTTTATTTAGGATATAATCAATCAAGTCCAACATTTGTTATAAATTTTTACAGTTTTACATCCTCCCCCCCCCCCCCAACATGGCTTCCCACAGTGCTCCAACCTCCTGTTCGATTCTTAAATTTTCTTCTTCCATCCATTTTCTCATTACATGTTCAATAGGTAACTAATCTCTTAATTATTATACCTTTATCCATACTTATTACTAAACCTTAGCATTTAATAATTGTTAAAGCAAACTAAATTGTCTCTTACATCCCAGTGTTTTTCCACATAGTCCTTTAGATCTTTCCAGTCCGCAACAAAGTCTTCTGCTTCCATATTGTTAAGTTTCCTTGTCATTTTGTCCATTTCCACCATAAAAAGTAATTTTTTAATCCAATCTCCGATTTCCAGGACTTTATCTTGCTTCCAACATTGAGCATAGGTCATTCTGGCAGATGTAATCATATACCACATCAATCTTCTTTTTGCCACATTGACCTCTTCTACCTTGGGAAGCATTCAGTAGCTTGTAGCTATAGGATTTAGAAGATTTGTCCCTGTACACCTCAGAGACTTACCCCATGTGCAAGCCACAGCCAGGTAAATATGAACACACTGATGCTCTATTAAAACGTCTCTTACTCAGTTTAGCCAGGAGGCGGTTAAAGCGTCCTTTTGCCGCCCCCAAAATCAACTTCTGTGGAAATTTTTTTCAATATTTCCTAACTTGTCTGTGTCCTGTCTGCTGTTACGTTGAAGGTATGTAAAGAAAAGCAATTTTTTTTTCTAGTACAATTTTTTCTAAATAAGATTAAATGTATTATTCTTGTGCTTCATACATTAAGGTTCCCCGCGACAGGAGAGCACCAGCAGTGAAACCAGATGCTGATCACTCTGAGCACGATCATACCAAAAGGTTCAGTATTCATACTTGCAGCACTTAAAAAACAACAACACTCTACTCTACTTTGCATTTTCCTATGCAAGGGGAAGAAGTGTAATTAAATGAATCTTCTCCCCCAGATTGATATAGTTACTGCAGTCTCTACGGCTTGCATCCTTGGCAACATGAGCAGCTCTCCCACTTCCTGCTGCAGTCTTCTGTGACCCCCGAATTTGTCCTCCTATGGAACAGTGGACACTCCCCCCCCCCCTTCCCGGGAACACCATGAGTGTCAGAGTGGAAGGCTGCCGTGAGAGGGGGAGAACCAGCAAAAGATCGCCCTCCCCGTCTTCCACAAACAGACATACCTAGCACATGTGTAAAGGGTGTGTGTGCTGGGATTCAAGCCCATAGATACAAGTTGTACATATTTTGGCTAGTGTTGCTGACTCTTCTCCTTGTGCTCATGGCAGGCAGATCAAAGTAAGTGAGTAGGAGGCAGCTCATGGAGGCAGGCCTTGGTGTCCTCAGGAAGAGGAACTTCAGGCAGTTGCAGCACAAGAAATAAAAAAAATTGGAGGTGTCATTGAAGGGGCGGAGTGCATTTCAGGCCAGGCTCTGTTCTACATAATAGAATTCTGAGAGGGTCTTGTTCCCTTCATTAAGCTGTGTTGAGACACACACCCCCTTCTGGCTCCTGTTTTACCCCACCCTTTAGGGTTGCCAGCCCCCAGGTCTGGGCGGGGGTTCCCCCGCTTCTGGGGACTTCAACTCGCCCCCGGCCAGCTGGCTGGTGGGGAAGCCCCACCCCCAAGAGCGACCACCTGCCTGTCCCCCCTCTCCCTTCCCTCCTGCCTGATTTAAAGGGCTTCATCTGTTCGACGGGGACCATGTGGCCCGCCGATCAGCTGGAGAGCCCTTTAAATCTAGCAGGAGAGAGAGAGTGGTGGTTGCAGGCCACACGCTCAGCTTGCAAAAAGACTTCGGCCACGGTACACAGGGCTGATTTCCTCCAGCCCTGCGTGCCGCGACCCTCACCCTGCTTGCAAAAAACCTTTAAAGGGACTTTTTGTGAGCTGAACATGAGGCTTGAGACTGCCCCCTCCCTCCCTCCTCCTAGAGTTAAAGGACTCTCCAGCTGCTTGGCGGGCCACATGGTCCCCACCAATCAGCTGAAGCCCTTTAAATCGGGCAGGAGGGGAGGGAGAGGGGTGGCAGGGTGGGTGGTTGTGCTTGTGGGTGGAGCTTGAGGTGGGGCTTGGGGAATTCCTGCTCACCCCTGGAATGCTCCCCAAATCCCCCTGCCAGAACAATGAGGGGACCAGTGTTCCCTCTGAGCTGAGTTAGTGTGAGCTAGCTCACAGTTTTTTAGCCTCCAGCTCACACATTTTTGTTTTCGTTCAGGAAGGATGGATCCAGAGGGAAACTAATTTTATGCAGTAGCCAAAGTGTCCGCTCACAATTTTAATGCCAGTAGCTCGCAAAGTAGAATTTTTGCTCACAAGACACCACAGCTTAGAGGGAGCATTGGAGGGGACCTGGCAACCTTACCACCCTTGTGCCCTGATCCCCCCCTTGCATCCTGATTCCCCCCCCCCTTTCACTGCCATCACCTCTGCTTTTCTTCTTCTTTCAAGGAATGGGTGGGCTCAGTGATAGTATTTCAGTTGCTTAGGACCTCAAGAGAGAGTCTTGTGAGACTTCTGTTGGATTTTGTCATCTAGGCACTGCAAAATGATATCCAGGACATCATACCCATTTGCAGTCTTGTGAAATCTTGACACTCGAATATTTTTTCCTTTAATGAATGCCCTTTTTTAACTTAAGAATTTTCTACAGTCTGGGGGTTCCCGTATTGTTGGTCTCTTGATTGCAGTCTAACTGTTCTGAGTAACCCAAACAAGCCTCTTGCACACAGAAAATGACAGGGAAACCCTGGGTGTAACTTCAAGCATGGTCTAGCTCAGTGTACAATCTGATCAAACTGAACTCGTTTCTGTGTTTCCACAAGGAACAGCATACCAAGCATGATGGAACAAACGCTCGTATCTACAGGCGAAAACAGAGTGCAAGTCTTGAAAAACATGCCTTTGAATATTGTGCTTCCACACACTTCCCAAATGGCTGTTGACAAGAGGGGTCACCTGACAACTCCAGACACAACTGTCACAGTATCCATTGCATCCATGCCGACCCATCCTATCAAGACGGAAACGCAGTCACACAGCTTCACTGTCGGCATTCCTCCGGCCGTCTATCACCCCGAGACATCTGAACGAGTGGTGGTTTTGGACAGGAGCCTCAACACAGACCAGTTCAGCTCTAGCTCCCAGCCTCAGAATTCCCAGCGGCGTACTCCAGATTCCACTTTGCCAGAGCCTTTTAAAGAAGGAGTGCAGGAGGTACAGCTATAGCCAGAGCCCTTTGCTTGGCATCTCTGGGTAGATGGATGGTCCTTTGCATTTTCCATAATTCAGTGGGACCTAGAAGAAGCCAAGGGACATGGTATCAAGCACAGAATTGGGTTTCCAGAGAAGCTTGAAAATGCTTTCATGTGGTGGTTTCTCTTTTAAAAGTAGCTTTCGCAGGTGCTTTAAAGCAGGGGTGTCGAACTAATTTGTTACGAGGGCCGGATCTGACATAAATGAGACCTTGTTGGGCCGGGCCATGTGTGTCATAAAACATAATGCCAGGGAGCAGAGATATAAACTTTATAAAGGACACAAACACAAAGGTTTTTTTAACTTAAAATTAAAAAAACATGCTTAAAACATTAGCACTTTTGCAGTATTTTGTTTATTTGTGTCTGATAACTGACACCTCTTCTCTGAATCATTGTTTCAAAATGTCTGTGCTGTTGCAATCTTGAGTATGCTGTTCAGGTGTGCATCTGTAAGCTGCAAACCTATGATGACGCAGCAGTAGCAGAACTGGAAGAAGAAGCAGAAGATAGCCATTTCCACTGTGAGCCTGATAGAAGCCCTCCAGGGGCCTGATCCGGCCCCTGGGCCACATGTTTGACACCCCTGCTTTAAAGTGTGTCAGAAGTGCCTTAGGAACCCTGACCTGGATAGCCCAGGCAAACCTGATCTTGTCAGAACTTGGAAGCTGAACAGGGTTGACTCTGGCAAGTACTTGGGTGGGAGACCTCCTTGAAATACCAGCTGTCTGGAGGGTAGGGGTAGGCTTTATTCAGCCACCTCTCTGAATATCCTCCAGGCCCCCTGGAGGGGTCAGTCACCAGTGGTTGCCATGACTTCCAGGTGCACACACACTTGCATATGATTTTTTTTTTTAAGTGTCTTAGGAATTTCAGGAGCCAGTGGATTTGCTGAAAAAGATTACCATGACACACAGGTATTATGTAAAAGAGTAAAATTTCCAAAATAAAAGTTCAACAAATGTGGTTAATTTCATTGCTTGGTACAGAATTGAAGTTACCTTTCTTTTGGCTCTCTTTTTAATGCAGAGCACCCACAGCTTTGTATAGAAGTACCTTTTGCATTCCCCACACTGATTTTTATGCATGCTCACTAGTCTACACATGGATATCAAGTTCCTATTTAATTCTTATATAAACCTGAAATCCCAATCCAGTGGATTAGAAACAGAAGATTTTCTCAAAAGGCCTAAGAGTATAAAGCACTAAATTTAAAACAAAAGCTGTTCCTGGACAATACAAAATCACTACCAAAAGTGCAGGGCTAATCTTTCAGGAGATGGCTCCTTCAGCTTCAGTGTTTGGTAATAAAAGACCTTGAATGTATTTTTGTTTTGTTTTTGCTCACAGTAAGTCTCTCTTCTCACCACAGCGAACGAAGTGGCAGAGCTTAAATGCAAAACAAAATGTAGATTTCGGGGTTTTTAATTCAGTGTCAGTACTGAAGATTTCCCCCTCCCCCTTTTAGACACTCTTCTTTTCCTAAAGAAATTCAGATATCACACAATTATCAGTGATTATCACCATACAGAACTGAAATGCAAGTTCTTTTGCGTAAGGTTTTGCATAAGGTTGTTTGCTGCATTCTGGACCTGACATTTGAGTCTTGGCAGAATGTGCTGTTTTATTTGTTTTTAAAACAAATGGACTGGCATTAAGAGAGAAAGCCCTGGCTAAGAACTTGCTTCTCTGATATTAGAAGTAGGCTTTAGGTTGTCTGTTAATGTGTGTTGGTGACACATAAGTGAAAAAGTGCCATATGTGGGCTACCTAGTGCTTTTCTCATACACACACCCAAGTCTGTTTATGTATGTTCGTTTTAACGTCAATTCTGGTGCGTGGGGATTGCAAATAGTTTGGTCATGATAAACTCAGATTAAAGCATTACATTGCGTCTCTTTGGGGTCTTTATTTTTTTTCCCTGTGGCTGAAAAAAATTATTGATACTTCACAGGTTTTCTTTCCTGCCGAGCTGAATCTCCGGATGGCCAGCATAAATTCTGAAGACTATGTGTTTGAAAACATTGCTGGGTAATTTTTAACCAATCCTATCCTTCAAATCCAGCTATCCAGAAACAGTCTATGTACACCTCTAGCTCACTTGAATGTAGGCCTGCTCTTTCCACAGGACTGAGATTTCTCAACCTGGAGCTGGCAACCCTAATCCTTACCCTGACAGGCAGACCAGAGCAATTGCAACTCAACATCTAGCTCCCCTAAAGAGTGTACCATGCATAACTATAGCCATTAAAAGGCTGATTTTGGATGCTGAATAGGGATGTGCGCTCGGTAAATACCAAGCCAAATAAATACCTGAAAAATACCTTGTCAGTGATCTGTATTTGGCTACCAAAATAGCTATGCCTGAATAAAAGCCAATATTATTCGGTTTTATAGGCTTTTGTTCGGCACGTCTAAATGCGTTCCATTCCCTTGCTTAGTTATGCTGCCACCATAGCCCAACTCGGCCAGTGAACTGAATGTATTTAAACTTTGCCCATCAGCACAGATAGGAGCAAGTCCATGGGTGAAGCTCTGTTTAATTAAATAGATGGCCACTGGAGTTTGTAGCATGTAAATATGGAACTTTCTGAGCTTTCATATTATGCACAGAAACACTAAATCCAAAGCATTGTATGTGCACTGGAGAATCCCTTGATAAAGTAAATTACTTTCCCCTCCTCTTTGAAATTTAATATCTGGTAGTGCAGAATAATACCTGTGCTATGGACTAGCCAGAAGACTCAAGGAAAAGCACAGTAACACTTCCTCTCCTTGTGCACATAAGAATTTGGCAGTATATTGGATCCCCTTTCTAAATCTCTGGGTAGATGTGATCTGATATGACTGACAGAAATGACACTTCATTTTTCCAACATGGAAACCAACCTTTGTGTCCCCATTCATGGCATCACTGTATATGTACATGGTGTCAGAGAATATTGGCCTTGGGCTAGAAAGGTCTGGATTGAGACCCCTGCTTGGCCTGGTATTTTGGGCAAGTCACTGTCTTGGTGTAACCTGTCTCACAAACTCTGTATGGAGAGAAAAAGGGATATCCCCATGTGCCCCGTGTTGGAAAGGTATAATCAAATGTAATTGACAATTAATTCCTTATCATATAAAGAGTATATTGCAAGCTGTGGTATAACACACTGGGTCGGTAAGAAAGGGAAGGGTCTCTTTCTTTCCCCCCCCCGTACATTATTTATTTATTTATTTATTTATTTGGATTCAGAAGCGTATTCCAAGCAAGAAAAACATGACATAAAATGGTCATCGCAAGATAAACCCTTTCTTACTCATCCAGTTGGTTAGATTTCCTTGCCTTAAATAAGGAGATATCAACCTTTAAAAATGCATTAAGAAGACTGCCAAAATAGAAAGAGCAGGTAGGGGTGCACAGCCCCATTCCTCATCTGGCATGTTGGTTTAGGATAAATCCAGAAATAATGTAATTATAAATCTCTCCTTTTGATTTTCAGGAACAATTTTGAATACACCCTGGAAGCTTCCAAATCGCTTCGGCAAAAGCCAGGGGATAATACGATGACTTACCTAAACAAGGGCCAATTTTATCCAATTACGCTGAAGGAAATTAGCAGTGGTGAAGGCATCCATCAACCCATTAGTAAAGTTCGAGTGAGTTGTAACTCAAGACATTTTGTTGGAGGAAAGATGGACGTGGTGTGCCCCTGAGGGGATCAGAAGATAGCCAACTGCTGGACCACTTGCTAATTTCTGGTGGCCTCCTTAGTGCCTGTTAGTTGCTGGAGTTAATGTGCAAAAAGAAAAAACAGGAGCAGATGAACTTTGGTCTGATCCAGCAATACTTCAGGCATAGTTAAATTGGGGGGCGGGGAGAGTGTTGCTTCAGGGCATGGTGGGAGAGCCCCAAGTCTACAACTGTAGTCTTAAAATGGCATGCTGCAGGATAAACTGGACTGGATGTTTCTGGTAGTAAAATTGGTTTTCAAAATGGGGCAATGATGGAGAGAGGAAAAAATGGCATTTCTCCTATTGGGAACTTTTTAAGTTGAGAAAAGTATTGACTTGGATGATTAACAGGCTTCATATTATATCACTTGTACAGTGTTCTTTCTCCAGTACAGAACTTTTACAATTTCCTTCTTGTGAGTGTCACAGTAGCCCTCTTATATAGACTAGTCTGAGAAACATGCACTAGACATGCTCCTCTTTCAACTCATGTGCACACATGCATAGGTGCTTGGTACATGCGTGTAGTTAGCTCAGTGACAGAGCACATGCTCTTCGCATGCTGAAGATCCCAGGTTCAATGCATGGCATTTCCAGTTTAATGCAGAAAACTGAGGTCTTGGAGAGTGAAAGAAGGCAGCCCCCAATCTCTGGAAATATTTTGGCTGTTGGTTTGAATGCCAGCGGATCAAAGGGGAGCTTTTCTGGCTCTAGTGTCCACTGCATTCGTTGACGAGGAGCTGCAGCTGATTCAAGTGGGCCTTCTGATCTTGCAAGTTTCTCTTCTTGCTGTCTGGGGGTACAAATTGCAAGGAGAAATTGCAGTTTATTAAAGAGGTGCAAGCCACTAGGGATTACGTGCCTGTCGGCCCTTGGTAGATGTGGTCACACTTCAGCTAAAAATGGCTGCTGGTTAAACCGCAAATATAAGCGTCTTGACCATCCCTCCTCCTCCCTCCCGTGAACACACATGAAGCCGCCTTATATGGAATCAGACCATTGGTTCATCAAGGTCAGTACTGTCTACATGGACTGGCAATGGCTCTCCAGTGTTTCAGGCAGAGGCCTTTCACATCACCTACCACCTCATCCTTTTAGCTGGAGATGCTGGGAATTGAACCTGGGACGGTCTGTGTGCCAAGGAGTTGCTCTGCTGTTGAGCCACAGCCCCTCCCTGCCCCATGCTGACTTTGCCAAAAACCCTGTGGCCTTCATGTCAATTTAATTTTTCTCTCTCT